ACAGACAGCCACAAACAGCCACAGACAGCTGCACAGACAGCACACATACAACCACAGACAGCCACAGACAGCTACACAGACATCCAAACACAGACATCCATACACAGACATCCATGGATGTCTGTGTGAAAAAAAAGAATACCAACAACTTTTATTCTAATAGATTTTATCTGTTCAGGAGTCAGGGTTTCTGATTGTTTTTAATCAGGGTGAGGAGATTTCTTTGGCGGACAGATTTTTCCTAAACAAGTGAAACAATCGTTAATTGAAAAGAAGTTTTGTTACTCCGTATCAGAATTTATTTTTTCAACGAAAACAATATTTAATATTCATCCAAGTCATTGTCTAGAAATAACGATATATTTCGTTCTTTAGCTCGACCTGGATGAGAAATAAAATCTTTTATAACAAAATTAGTAGCTTCTGGGGTTAATGAAAGTTGTAAACTCGAAGCGTTGATACATGTTTCGAGGGTCACGTCTCCCATACGATTTTGTGTCCATGTTTTCACTCGACGAAGTGTGCTAAAAACCCGTTCAGCTTTGTTTGACCCAACACCGTATGTTGTCAATATTTAATATAACCAATACCATTCTGGTGTTAGTTCACTTCCATGTATCGCTATTTATTTCAGTATCTCATATATATTCATTTTATCACCTTTAAGGGGGGTCCACCCTCCCCAAACATGCCCTCAAACTTGGTCAGTTTGTAGATAACACCTTCGGTGGTATGCCTATGCAATAAAAAACTCATTAGTCAAGTATTGACAGAGTTATTAATTAATTAAGTTCAAACTTAATTGAAATTTTTAGTTGGAGAGGCATCTTTTAAAACCTTTCTAGTTTTCGATATAAATGTTATATTCAATTGATTGAAATGTAGTTTTATAGAGAATTGTTTGTAGATATTGTTGTAGATATAGTTCCATACAAAAAAGGTTTAAAAACGATATCTCTGATCGTTTTTTAATTACTAATTAGTTCTGGTTAGTAGTAATTAGTGGCACTCCGGTGGACAAAGTAACTTTTCCTAATGTCAGAACAATCATGCGATGTATCATTCGATAGAACTTTTCGAGCTCTATCGATTGAGCGAGCCACTTCTTTTAACTTTTGCCTTTCTTGTCTGAAAAATCCATTTTAAATCATTTTTGGTGTCAAAAACTGACCAATTCTCAATTTTCTTAACCAGAACTCAAGTTCTATGTAATGAAAGTATCATATTCGGAATCAGGATCGAAAACTGAGCCGATTGATGTGTATTTCGAAATTTTTAGTTCATTTTTATTTTTTGGTGAAAATTTCTATGAGTTTTCAAAGTGAAAATTCGAAAACCATAAAAGTGCTCGTATAGGATGGAGATGCACATCAATCGACTCAGTTTTCGATCCTGATTCCGGGTGTGGACCCTCCTTAATATTTTGACTAATGTTAAGGAATGTTGGCATTATAACCTAGAACATTCAAGTATTAGACATGTATATCATGAGTTTTAATGATCTTGAAAATAAGGCGGGAAAGAGTTACCGATAGTGAGATATCAGCTCTTTCCGGTGTAAGAAATGATCGCATAACAAATAAAGAACTCACGTTCATCGATTGATTTACACTTTTAACAAACTCATCTGCGATTTTATATCAAAATTATTTTGATCTTGTGATGGTGTTTATAAACGAGTCGATTAACCTGTTGATGTTATACGGAATGAAAATTTTTAACAGAGTTTAATGTTTCATTTAATGAATCATAATCGAAATTTGTCATTGTTTGTTCGATCTTGGCACGTGCAGCAATAAGAGCGATTGAAAAATTATCCAGACAACCTCTCCTTTGTTCGATTTGTCGTAAGAATTTCATAGGTGGACGTAGAACTTCATGTATTAAATGAATCTCGAAAACAGTCCTGGGTTTGACTAAATCGACGGCATATCTACGTCCATCCGATCCACCAGTTGATCTTAATTCAGCGATTGATGTTAATGCACCAATTATTGCTAAATAATGTTTGCATCCGAACCGAACAACTTCATAACGATAGGCCTATCTAGTTTTGCTTGCTTGCGGAACTGTACGACTTAAAATGAAGACAAACCAATCATACCCCGGTCGGATAGCTCGGGCCGTTTACGGCCGTAAATGATGAAATACGGCAATGACGGAAAAGTTTCTGCACCAAATAGAGAAAGATATTAGTCAATATAGTAATACCGCAAACTTATGATGGAGCATCGACTATGCGATTTCAATTGCCAGTTCATGTACAAAGCAGATTATCCGTTTGGGCATTGTTCATTTATTGTCGTTCTCATCTGCCTAATTTAAGTATTAAAGATGCCATCACAAAGTCCCAGTTATAAGTTTCGTTTTATACAATCAAACAAGCACTTGAGTTTTTACGTGATAGTCCAACAAGATTTAAAACATTATTTACAAGTCAGTAAGCATTTTATTCTAGTAGAACAGGTATATGATACTTTTTCTTAATATTTTCTACATCCCCTGCATACTGATTGAAAAAACATGAAATTGTTGTGAAGAGAGACGGATTTCTTCTGGAAAGAAGATTAAGTTCTTGTTGAATAAGAACCGTCCTGGTAAGAAATGTCCCAGAGTAAGATCTGTCCGAATAAGAAATGTCCGGAGGAGAAGTTTCCGGGTAAGAACCGTCTGCGGAAGATCGGACCGAATACCGAAGAAAGATGGATTTCTTCTGGAAAGAAGACCAAGTTCTTGTTGAATAAGAAGTGTCCTGGTAAGAATGGATGGATCTTTTTTGGAAAGTGGATGAAGTTCCTGTGAAGAAATATGACTTTCTTCTGCAAAGACCATGACGTTCTTGTGAAGAAAGATGGATTTCCGAAGGAAAAGCAAGTTCATGTACAAAGCAGATTATCCGTTTGGGCATTATTCATTTATTGTCGTTCTCATCTGCCTAATTTGAGTATTAAAGATGCCATCGCAAAGTCCCCCGTTATAATGATGCAAATACCATGAAATCATCAGATTGTGGTGAAGAAGGATGGATTTCGTTTGGAGCAGTGATGAAGTTCATGTGAAGAAAGATCGATTTCTTATACAAAAACCGTGAAATCATCAAGTTGTTGTGAAGAGAGGTGGATTTCTTCTGGAAGGAGGATGAAGTTGTTGCGAAGAATGATGGTTTTCTGGTGGAGAACTCATGACGCCCTTGTGAAGATAGATGGAGTTCGCTTCGAAACGAGATGAACTTCTTGTGAAGAAAGATGGATTTGTTTTGCAGAAACCATGACGTTCTTGTGAAGAAGGATGGTTTGCTTTGGCAAAATCATGAAGCCCTTGTGAAGAAAGATAGATTCCCTTTGGAACAGAGATAAAGTTGTGGTGAAGGAAGATGAATTTCATGTGCAAATACCATGAAAACATGAAGTTGTTGTGAAAACAGTTGGATTTTGCAAAACACATGATGTTCCTATAAAGAATTTGGAGGATTTTTTCCGGTAGGAGGCTGAAGTTATTGTGAAAAAAGATGGATTTCTTCCGCAAAAACCGTGACGTTCCTCTAAAGCTGTTGTCAAGAACGATGACGGAAAAATCGTGACGTTCTTGCGAAGAAAGATCGATTTCTTATGCAAAAACGGTGAAGCTCTTTTGAAGAAAGATGAATTTCTTCTGCAACAACCGTGACGTTCTACTGAACAAAGATTGATTTCTTATGGAAAAACCGTTACGTTCTTGTGAAGGAATATGTATTTCGTTTATAACAGAGATGTAGTTCTTGTGAAGAAAGGTGGATTTCTTATGCAAAAACTGTGACGTTCTTCTGCAGAAAGATGGATTTCTTATGCAAAAAGCATGCCGTTCTTGCGAAGAAAGTTGGATTTCCTCTGGAAAGAAGATCAACTTCTTGTTGAATAAGAACTGTCCTGGTAAGAAGTGTCCTAGAGTAAGATAAGTGCTCGTAAGAAGTGTCCCAGAATAAGAAGGGTCCTCGTAAGATCTGTCCGGAAAAGAAATGTCCGGACGAGAAGTTCCGGGTAACAAACGTCTGGGGAAGATCGGACTGAATACCGAAGAAAGATGGATTTTTTTTGGAAAGTGGATGAAGTTCTTGTGAAGACAGATGGATTTCTTTTGCAAAAACGATGACGTTCTTATGAAGAAGAATGGATTTCTTTAAGGAAAATCATGAAGTTCTTGTGAAGAAAGTTGGATTTCTTCTGGAAAGAAGATCAACTTCTTGTTGAATAAGAACTGTCCTGGTAAGACAGTGTCCTAGAGTAAGATAAGTGCTCGTAAGAAGTGTCCTAGAATAAGAAGGGTCCTGGTAAGATATATCCGGATAAGAAATGTTCGGACGAGAAGCTTCCGGGTAACAACCGTCTGGGGAAGATCGGACCGAATGCCGAAGAAAGATGGATCTTTTTTGGAAAGTGGATGAAGTTCTTGTGAAGACAGATAGATTTCTTCTGCAAAAAGCATGCCGTTCTTGCGAAGAAAGTTGGATTTCTTCTGGAAAGGAGATCAAGTTCTTTTTGAATTAGATTTGGTAAGAAGTGTCCTAGAATAAGAAGGGTCCTGGTAAGATCTGTCCGGATAAGAAACGTCCGGACGAGAAGTTTCCGGGTAACCAATAAAAACTATGTAAGTCCAAAAGTCCAAAATCCGCTATTTCCCTCTTGGATGTTGCTCGCAATTTGTTCTGAATAAACTTAATAGCCAAACTGATTTAATTTCAATTTGGTTGTGTAAAAATTCAGTTGTTTGATGAGGCAATAGGCCCTTGATTTTTTGTTCATACTTGATCGTTTTTACGTACTTACAATAAAAGTCAAAATGTTACCTTCAAAACATAACCTTTTATGGATCTGGTTACTCTTGTATCACTAGTCTGTTCGGTATCTGCACAGCAAACTGGTAAACTTTATTCTGAACTGAACAGCGGTATTTAAACTAGAATTGTATGAGCACATCCATACAGATACACCCAAAGTTATCCGTACAGAAGTAGTTTCGAGGTAAATAAATCATAACTTTTTAATAGTCTATAGTTTTTATCATTAAACTATCTACAAACATTTAGTCTGTGAACAGCCCATGTACACTTTGTCAGCTGTTTAAACTTTAACTTATTCTCTCTAATTTCCGCGAAAAGGTATTTCCTGACCTTGTCGTTCTTTTTTCTCCTGTACAGTGGATAGCCTCCGTACTCAAATTAAAATATATGGCAGGTGTGTACTTTGGAATAAAAACCTACTGTTTTCAATTATCTATAAAAGTCAGATTGTCTTCGATATAAAAGAAGAAACAAAATTGATTTGTAGTGGTCGAAGGTAGATAACTAATATAATATAACCTAATATTAATTGACGTTAATATAATCTATTCAATAATGCTTGGTAAGTAAAATATTCTGGCAAGTAATGATGGCTGATTCCTTAAGAGGGTCTAAGAGGAATTGCCATAGCTGAAACTAAAACGCGATCGATTCGCATACATAATTTCATTTCAACAGTAGTGTTTCTTCTAATTTCAGGTTTTGATCATTAAGGCGCTGATGGTAAGCAACGGTTGTTGCATATTTCGACTGACCTTAAAACAAAAGTCTCTAAGTCTAAATCAGGAAGCAGAACAATTCTAGCAAACCAAAAATTGTTGCCTTTTATGTCAGCTAAACTGTAGCCATTGTACAGTAATGTGAAATAATAGTTTAAAAGTGGATACACCATTCTCCGGGCAATGTTTTAACGTTGATAATTCACATGTTTAACAATCACATACAGATCATTCTCATAGATTTTTCCTCCTGGTAATATGTTTTAGTTGCTGCAGAAGCGACTATTACAAAGGTAATATATGTGTTCGATAAATTATTTTGGTGAGCAGTGAGTGTCTACATCATTAGGTGAATTGGACATTCGACAATATTTATCTGTTTAATTTGTTGACAAACTTTGAATTCGAGCTCTACTTCGAATCACATTTAAGACTCTCACTTTCCCAGCTTTCTTTTGCATATGTCTTGTGCTTCTTCCTTATCCTCCCATCTTCTGTCACATAGGTGTAGAATTATTTTCGTACATTCTTCATTGACTGCAGGAATTTTGTGAAACTCTTTTCTCGTTCACTCTCACTACCTACTCAACACCTCGATGAGGTGTCAGAGAAAAAAATTACACAGAACTCCTGCAGTCAATGAAGAATGTACGAAAATAATTCTACACCTATGTGACAGAAGATGGGACGATAAGGAAGACACGGTAAAAAAAAAGTGTCGAAAAGTTGACGCTTTTTAGTGGACGGCTTTTTCGTCCCATCTTGGTATGCTTTTTTGCTAGACGGTTTTTTTTGTGGACTAGTTTTCTCGTATGTTTTTTTGTTAGATGGAAAAACAAAATTTGAAAAGATTTCTAGATAATATTTTACTCAGTTTTGAACGCACGATACTTTGGAAGCGCGCCTGATCTGCTGGTTCGATCCACTATCGAAGGAAATCAGTCGTTTCTGAGATCAGCTAGTGCAGCGAAACGAGTCATCTATGCAGTATGCACTTAAATACTATGCTTGAACGAATTTTTGTGGACTCATTTTTGTCGATGCTTTTTTTAGTATACTTCTCGTGGACGTTTTCTAGTGGGCGCTTTTTTGGACGCTTTTCTTTTTACCGTGGAAGCACAAGACATATGCAAAAGAAAGTTGGGAAAGTTGAAAATCTTAAATATGATTCGAAGTAAAGTTCAAATTCAGCTTTTGAATTTTACACACACGCTTATGATTAAGTGAATCTAATGTTTTCTTCTTGGACTTTGACAAAAAAACTTGGAGTTTTTGTCTGTCTCTTATTCTTATCCAGCAGACTTGTGAACGGTTCTAGAATATCTGATAAAACCGCTTCGTTCCAATTATTAACAAATCATTAAATAATTTCTAGCCCCCTGAAAGACCAACACTTCTCATATATCATTCCAATGGTGGAAATGGAGCGACAAGATGATCAATTATAACCAAAACTCATTTCGAATTTTTTGCTGTGATTGTAGAATTTATTGTAGAATTATTATTATTTATTGTAGAATTATTACAACTTGATTATTAATAAAAGCTGAATTTTTGCTATCATGCGTTCGCATGTTTAGATGGTGTTTCAGACAAACTACAATATTACTATTAATATATCTGGCAATGAGACTTACCTGATGTTTAGTCATAGAGTAATTCTGATTTCATAATTATGCACTTCAATATACCGGACCTTTCTTCTGAAACTATTCAATTCACCATTTTTTTTCGATTTCTTTACGCATTTAACAATAAAAAAGACCTTTAGTCTGAAGAATAATTATGACAGTAGGTATCATCATTGTTTTTGCATTTGTAGTATCATTTCTCGGATATTACTCATCGAATCTGTTCAAAACTTAGAAAAAATATTTCTTAACATGTCAGACATATTATAACTATGTTAAGAACTCGCGATCGTTTTTGGAAAGATCTTCTCAAGTCGTACATTTCAATTCACGCTATAATACAGCTATTTGTGTTCTTTACTACTTCTAATATGAAAGCTCTCTCTTCTGCCCCATTCTGAGATATTTTGAACTTTGTAAGAAAAAGTCAAATACAATTAATATTGCAGAGCTATGTCTTTTATTACATGGCAAGTCAAAAAAGCAAAAAGTTGTTCAAACACCCACGATATTTGAAGGATTTCTGGAAAATCTTTCCAGAATGGCAAGTTTTATAGAAAAAAATGTGAATAAATTTAAAAAATGAGAGATTTTGTGAATGAAATTAAAAATGTGAACTTTTTTGTCTTAAAACCGGGGAGAATATCTATAGCAGCAAAAAATCTTGAAATAAAACTCGTAAAAAAATAAAATAAAAATTTCATGATCAAGATAAGCAGAAAAAGCATTAATTAGAATACATTCAACTTCTTTTTTGGCCGCGCAACACTAGTATTGCCACAAATTCAGTAGTTTTTCAATTCCGTTTTTCTCTTCCTTTGGTAAACAGATCATTTGATTAAAATCTGATATGAAGTTAGTCGTTCTGAGCAGTAGTACTCAGAATTGGTCTCATAGTACAGAACATGCTAGTGATGTCTATATAATTCACTTGATAGTGCGAAAAAAATTTGAAGAGCTAATCGGTCTAACGATATGCATGACGGTATCCATGCATACATGCACATTCTTCTTCGTAATAACGCTTATGTGAAAAAAACATCTAAAAATCTGTATAAAAAAGCGTAAATGGAAGATCGTGAAAAAAAATGTAGAAGAAAATCGATGAACTGTTGAAAGTATAAAGAATATCACAAAAAAAGAATAGAAAAAGGATGCTGCGAAACCGTGAAGAAAATGCGATAGCATCACCGCAGTTTTTTGTTGCCTTAAAAAACGACTGTGATAAATTTAGAGCTGGTCAACATTTAACCGACTACTTATTATTTCTCTGTGAGCTATTTTTTGTAATGTATGCGTAGACAGCTTCTTCATGCATAACATAGCTTTTACTGCTCTTCAAACATTATCTCACCATCCACATGTTTTTTGGCTTGTTTTAAGAGTTCTACTGTTGAACGATATCAGGGTTGCACCTTTTCCATTTTCTGGACTTCTTTCCGAGCTTTTGCTTTTAGGTTTCTTCCGTCTTTTTCCTTTTCCTTTTGTGATTGATTTTAATATACTTTATTTTCTATAAGTGCATTTATAAAGTGAATCACTACCTTTCCTGAATCTGCTGATTTTAAAAATTTGGCCTGATAGTTTTTTTCCCTTACAAACTCGTCAAGAAGATGATTGTCATTTAATGATTGTCATGAAAATGATTGTCATTTTTTTCTGCTTTTCGGATTTCTAAAAGTAGCAAGCCTGGACGATACATACTCCCTTTAATAAAGTGCATTTGTTTTATATACGTTGTTTCATTTGTACGTTCGATCTATTATAAAAAAATTTTATTTGACATAACTAGTGATACCTCATAGTGAATGACTTTACGAAAAACAGTGTATTATGCGTGAATTCATTATTTTGCAGGTAAAAGGGTGGCAGGCATAACAAAAAGAATTTTATAAGACAATGACAGTGGTGGTCGAACTTTTCTCTTTAGTTCTTTCTCTATTTGCAGAGTCGTGAGATTTGAGGCAAAAGTTTCGTTATCAAGTCAATATTTTATGCGCTCAAATTCATGTGACAATTTGACAAAAATAAACTTTTCGATCAAAAACGAATATTTTTTTGTTCTCTAATAAGTGCACAAAGAGTAAGCACGAATTTTATTCTTTTAGTTCGATTATATTAATACAATGCATTCAACCACAAAAGGAAATCATCAACAACTGGGAATTATTTTATCTCAGGTTTGTCAGTGCCGATCTTATAGTTCAGAATGTCACATATGAATGATTTGGCTACACGACAGATGAGCCTCTGACATTTGAGTCCCCGAAACTTGAGCCTTTCGACACGTGAGCTTTCAAGATTTGAGTTCAACGAAAAGAAGAACATGAAAAATCCAATGAAGCTTTTGCTCTTTTAAAATATTCTTTTCTTGTGTTTAGTTCAAAAGTAGCAATTAACTGTCGTAGTTGGTCGTCCATTTGTTCATATGCAACACGTTTTGTCGATTTTACAAGTCTAGCTTCTAATTTCTCTGGGTATATAAGGTCTGCATAGATATATTTTGAACTACTTAGAAAGCAAAATTTCATTTTGCTTTGAAAATTGTTGTATTATATGAAGGAACTTCCAGTCATCTATCACTCTTTCTTCAATCACCATACTTCTGTTTCTTTCATCTCACCACATGGAATATGTTCAGTTTTGTTCTCACTTCTAAATAATGCTTCTAAACATTTTGACGAATAGTTTCTGTATTGTCATCAAAAACCACTAACTTCATTTATTAAACCAAATTATAGCTTAAGTCTGTGTTCTTTTAATCATATCGAACCACATCATATAATGTTATCATGTTCTTTGAGTAAGACTCATCCGCTATGAGGTCACCCGTGGGAGGCTCGATTGTCGAAGGCTCACGTGTCGAGAGACTCAAATATCAAGGGCTCAAATGTCAGGAGTTCATATATCGGAGGCTCATTTGTCTGGGCTGAAATATCAGAGGCTCATCTGTCGGTATACCGAATGGTCTCTCATCATTTTTAGTTACAAAACGATGAACAACGTTATCAACTCCTACAAACACTTCGTACAAGATTAGCTGGATATAATCTGTCCGTTGAAAGTATTAAATTGATTTTAGATCTATTCGCAGATGAACAATATCGATTTCAAGTTGGGCAATTATTAACAACGGTGAGAGGATAATAAAAGTTCGAAAACACATTATTAATGTTTAAATAAAATCTTTATAACAGCTATTGTGGAGATTGCAGTTTGTGTGCATTGTCCAACACCTTCAGTTCTGTCCTGAAATTTAGGCATTGAATAAACTCAAAGCGGATGATTGTTTATCGCTACTAAAAGGTTTCCAAGATGAAAAACAAAAGTTTATACTGTTTGAACAGTCTTACAAGTGAGTTTGTATTGTTCATAACAACCACTTTATCACTCTTCTCTTATCTTGTTAGAAAATTGAATTCAGACACGTGTTATGATCAACTGATCAATATTTTGAATGAATTTACACCATCAACTAGACAGAAGGCAGAGAACTTACTGCGAAATGTACGTAGTATACGTTATAAATGTATTTCATTGCCACTTCTCTCTTTTTCCATGTTATAGAATTATTCAGAATTGTACACTCGTTTGATTCATGACAGCGATGGTGATACATCGTTTTTTCAACACGAGCATCATACTAAACTTAAATATCATGATCCAATGATAAAACAACAAGAAGAAAAGAAAAAAAGTAATTTATTCTCTTTGTAATAAGTAGGAACCATCTTTTCAAGCAAATAAACACAAGGTCTTTTTTCTTTTGTTTCAAAATTCATTATCGTAACAACAGAGTATATTTTTAAATGAGCTTCCGTCGTAGATTGTGAAACATATGGCTGCATCATACCAATAGTGGAATCGAATATAGGAAATAAGGCTATATGTTCTGTTCTGCAAGTTTCGAATTATCATTTATAAAGAACATCCAAGTAAAACTTGGTGTTTACGACTCCCTCGCTTTTGTCCAGTTTGGACTGATATCTCCCCGCCTACATCTGGATATTTTTTGAAAATGAGCGTGCATTACGATACACAGGCATTCAGGCGGACATCTGGTGAAAAATTGAAAGTGAGCTTTTTCAAGATTCAAACTCACATATACTTCGATCTACAGGCTCTCTGATGGTATAAAAAGTTTGTTGCAAGTGCTCCACTTTAGGAAAAATGCATGAGCAAAAAATAGCCTAACCTCGGAGAAAAAACATTTTTTTTATTTCATTAAGGCGAATTATCTTTGTAAATCGTACCTATTCCGAATCTAGACACACTCCGCTATCTATCAATGTAAAACTTTTCCACTCCTATGATCTCTATGATCTTATGATATAGGGGAAAAAAATTAATTCTCGACCTAATCCTCGGTCCGTATAGGTGCTTAGAATGTAATGAGGTCGCGAAAGTTAGCGCTGGTCAGATATTAGTCAAAATTATACCAAAATGTCCGTGGTCATGTTCTGCATTCATTATGAATGCGGTTTTTTCTCGGTGCGATATCAATTTTTTTTCCAAAGTATTCGTGGTAAAACTGGCTTTGTCAGTTTGCTTTTAATTGCCATATTCGATCCTCAATATGATTACGCATTTTCGAACTTCACGTTTACTTTTTAATTGAATAGCAATAGCTGATAGTAGATCATTGACGATTATTACTACCATCAAAGAAAACGTGACAAAAATGGCTGGAGTGGAACAAGCTTGCACAAAAGAGAGCGACATCACCAATGAAACACTCGCACATATTTTGGATTCGATAACCGGTACAAAACAAAAACAAAGTTCAACTGAACTGAGATCACAACTACCGTACTGCGAAGAACAATGTCATCATCGTCCACATAGTATTCTAAGTTCAACAGCCATATCTGTCTCGAGTGATTTACAATCGAGAGAATCTGAGAATAGTGCGTACATCCTCAAACCCATGAACTCAGCAAATAAATTTACTACTGAACCCACTGGGCTATCAAATAGTGATACGGATGAAACGAGACAACAGCAACATTTACACAAACAAATCAACGCACCGGTACATAATCTATCTCTTCTTCTGTTAACAGAATGCACCTAATCTCAGAAAACAAATTTTGCAGTTTGGTCTATTTTTCATTCTGCGTTATTTCATGTCTCATCTTTCTAAGGTATGCAATGAGGCAGTTTTACTTGCCAGTACAGAATCGATTGAAACCACGGATATGATTATAAATGGCCAAGTTAGTGAGATATTTTACAAAAAATTTGAATCGGAACGAACGGATGACAAAACTTTCGACAAAAGTCCCGTTGCCCTTCGGTTAAATGAGACAATGATGATGACCTGTAGTGCTGATACTACCGAAACTAGAGACGATTTAGCAACATATGAAAGTATTTGGATTAAGCATGGTAACGAGGGCAATCAAAAATGGCTCTACAACGACAGTGATGAACAACTATCATCGTTCGTTAATTATCAACCACTGACTCAAATTCAATTTCAATCAAAAAATACATCGGCACAAATTTATGTCTACGAAGAAGATGATAGTGGCGAAGAGCAGAGTGATGGTGATCAACGTTTGTCCTTGAAACGAAAATTGTCAAGTACAAGCCTGTCCCCACAACCAATCCATCCACCAAATACAAATGACTTGTCGATCAGTTCATCGTCATCATCGATGTCATCGCATAACGTACCCATGAGAACCCAGTCATTCATGAAGCGAATCAAAGACATATTTGATAGACTCAAGCAAGATAATCAAGATTAGTACTACTGTAAACTTCATGAATACAGCTGAGATTGTTACTACTGAAAGATCACTTTTCAAAATGCATCAGTATGGTGTATAACTCGAATACTTTGAACTAATATAAACAATGGAATTGGGCCTTCTCTAATCAATGTAATTTTAGTTCGCGAAGTTAGTACAATAGGAAATAAATTTAGTGAGCACACTCATCCTTAAAAATATAAAAGACGAACATTTGATGAAAATATAAAATTTGTTTTTCTCTCATTTTATTCTTTAAACAGAAAAACAGAAAATTTTCTCTTACAGGAAAGCCTAAATAGTATCAGAGTAGAATAAACTGTAAAAGAAAAGTACATGTGTATAAAAGAATAATTCTTTAACACATAGCGGTTAGTTGCGTCGTTCGGTCGTTCGCTCAGCCGTTCTGCCGCATTTAAATTCTAATTTATTTTATTTTGTTTAATTTCGGTCCCTTTAATTGTATTGTGGATACATACATACATTGGCATATATATATTTATATACTTCCAATTTATTCGTCATTTTTGAAATAACGAGTATTGTAGCGTATAAGCAAGAGATGCAACAAACGAAGAAGAGAACATTGTTATTTCCATCTACTACTATACAAGCATATACCTCAAATACATGAGGTTTTGCACATTTTGTACGTATTCGACTACACATTTTATTTAAAGTTTCTTTAAATAGAGCACTGCTTTTCACTGAAATGATAACCCAGATCAACTATCTTGCTTTTGTCACGCCGCGATTCACTATAAAAAGTCGCGGCAAGTACGCGTAGCGCGATCACGGTTATGATCGCGGTTTTGTCGTATTGTCATGCCACGATCGCGATTTATTCGCTATTCTTGTGTTATCATCCTAAAAAAGTCGCGTTGTCGTACCACGATCCTGCTTTTCTCGTGAAGTCATGTCGCGATCGCGCATAAATCGCTACTGGACCAAACACCTACGTAGTTAGCACAACTTGTCTTCTTGAGCGTACGACTCAGTCTACTTTTCTCCGTGAGTGAATATTATTTCGGACGTTTCAGGAATAGTTCACGCTATATTAAGTTTCTATTGAATTCAGAAACTTTTTGTTTGTTTGAGAGTACAGTTAATTCTGTCGCAATAATATTCACTCAGGGAGAAAAATACATTGAGTCGTGCGCTCAAGAAGGCAAGCCCTGACGCTTTTCTTTTTACCGTGTAAACACAGGCATTATGCACCTTGTCTCACTCGGTTTTGTCTTCGAGAATATGATGCACTTAAGTTGGTACACAGCAATCTTGAAGATGTAGTCTCTCGTTTAAATTCTGCCGGCGTATTTCTGTCGCGATGCTGAACTACTTTACTTCGGCGCTTCAGCGCTTTCATTCTTAGACTACGACAAAACCGCGATCATAACTTTTTGGTAAATGTGACCTATAAAACGATGGAAAAAAAGTCTGTCCTATAGAAATACTCTTGCTTTTTCCGTCTATTCAAATTTCCATATGAGTTTTAAAAATACACTGAGCAGAAATGCAGAACAGCTGCGGATCAGTTTCTAATTTTGTGAGGCATGGCCGGTGAAGTATCTTAAAAAAGTAAACTTTGACATTCAGACTTCATTTCGGTATATGTGAATAATATTTAATGAAAATATGAGCGTTCAAATCCGGTTTCTGACAGAGATCTGAACAAAGCAATTTTTGCGTGATATCATGCATTTTTATAACCATGTTATAGAAAGTGGTCTTGTTCTCCGTAAGTATATGGCCGTCAAACTTGATTCTTTTCATTAAATATTATTCACATATACCGAAATGAAGTCTGGATGTCAAAGTTCACTTTTTTAAGATGCTTCACCGGCCATGCCTAACAATATCCCTTCTCTCGTCTTTGCTTTCCGAGAAAGGAACCAGAATAAACATTAGTTGCGGCCTTCTGAAGTAAATTTAGGAGCTACTCGCAAATTACGTGGGACATGTAGGTTTAGGCTTCGACGATTCTCTTGTTCTTATCTTTTATGGGTCTCAAAAAGGTCATTTTTAACAGTAATATGGCAAAAACGTGGATGTTGGCGGTGTACATAACAGTTGAGCAACAGACAGTTTTGTTCGCCGTTTAAAGCTACATCGAATGGTATATAGGAGTTTTCTTCAAACTTGTTGTGTTCTGAGAAAATTACGAAAAACGCCTCGGAACGGGCTTGCGGAGTTATTGTTCAAAGTTGATCGATTTTCTGACAGATATGAGGTCCGAAGCGGAACCAAGGGTGTAGAACCCCATAAAATTGTATGCTATTTCATTCTAGATATCTTTCGAGAAGATCTGAAATGGAGCCGATCCTCGTTCTTATTGCACCCCGTCCTTTCTAACTATAGCATTAAAAGCAGTACTCTAGAAACCAATATGACTTGAACGGTTTTTGGTGCTTTCTCATCAATTTATAACAGAAATGCTTTTGTGAAAGAGATTGTCATGTTTCTCTCGCCACATTTGAATTTTGAGCGAACATTTTCCTTTCATTTAGTTTTTCCATATAAAACTCGCGTCAAAATATCTTGAACCTGCCATCCTGCGTCGCGCAGATATTTGTGGAACGAGTTAAAAGCTTTTAATTTCCTTTGTTGATGGATAAGACGGATAGAACTACTTTGGTTATAACGTCGAATCTTTATGCCAAAAACTTCACATATGTCAAGTCTTTGTTGAAATTAAGGGATTTATAGTTTCAACAGATCTTATATAGTAGAAGAAGATTGTCGCAGAAACATCCGAGGAGTCGTATCACAAAAAAACTTAAGTCTGACTTAAGTTAAAATTTGGACTTAAGTCAGGGCTTAAGTTTTACCTTATCACAAAAAAATTTAAGTCATGGGAAATGTAGTCTTAAAGTTAAGACCGAAAACTTAAGCCGGACTTGAATCACTGACACATTTCTTGAATAGATCAGGCATTTAACGATACGATTCGACGACATTCTAAGGATTAGAGAATAAATATTTCGTTATTTTGTGGGTTTTCATCCGAAGTTTGTCACTGTTGTCAACGACTTTTAAAAAGTAAACAAATCGCCAACTTAAGCCTTTTTCGTGATACAGTTTAAGTCTCCGGACTTAAGTCGGTCTTATATTCAGAAACAAATGATCCTGTATTTGAATCATTTGTTATTAATGATAATAAAACCGTTTTAAACATTATTGATACTCCCGGTTTATTTGAACGTGGCTCAGATGAAATTGACGTTAAAGATAATGCAACAATATTAAAAACAATTGAATTATGTATTGTTAGGGAAATAACAAAATTTCATTTAGTTTGTTTTTGTGCATCATTTGAAATGTAATAACGATCAAGATATACAATCAATAAAATTGTTAGTTCAGTTTTTAAGATATATCAAAACATTCTTGTCTAATTGTAACAAGAAGTGAATTAAAAAATGATAACCAAAGAGAAAAGTTACGTAATGAAGTAAACAATGATCAACATTTTAAAGAATTAGTAAAATATTTTAAACAAGGTATTTATTTTTCTGGTGCATTAAATCGTGATGATTATAATAATGCATCGAAACAAAATTTATTAGTACAATTTCAAACAATATGCAAATATAGCGATGAATTAATTGCATTATTTGGTAATGAAAATACTGAACCATATCCAATGCGAGAATGTGCTTTTGATGATGTTAAGCAAGTATTTGCTGAATGAGAATTAGTAGAAGAAGTAAAAAGATTAAAAAAACGGACAAGCGGATGGAAATCTTATTACTCGATATCAATCATTTTATGATGTACACGAGCGTACACACCGTTTTGTATGCTAAAATTTCATATATTTATGATGGATGTACTATCCTCATATATACATAAGGTGCAAATAATGCAAAAAGGGAGCAGAATTTTTTTCTAATTTTTTAGTAGGGTTGGATAGAACTCATCAAGTTATCTAGGAAAAACTCAATTTCGAACTTTTGAAGTTACTTTTCCGTAAAAAGTTTAAAAATATCAATTTTATGAAAATGCAACAATCGGTAAGTTTTCGAAAACTAAGCAAAATTTTCATATTTATTATTATTTAAAAATTCCAAAAATATTTTTTTCTGATTGTCCATCCAAAACCAAGTATAGAAAAGCGTTTTTGACAATTTTAGAACCTAAACTAACTTTTAAAATCGTCGAAGACCAGCGGAACTGCAGAAACCCTACCCGTGTATCTTGAAAATCTAGTTTTCTAGAATCTAGTTTTTCTGGTTACAAGATAAGGTTGTCTTGAAATTTTTTAACATGAAAATTCGAAAAAAATTAAAGCCGACGGCTCCCTGAAGATCCTTTAACTAAGCTTTTTTCGTTATAAGGCGCTTTCTTCCCCACATTGCTCTTTTTAATGCAGAAAACCGTTAGCTGTCTGAAAACCGAGCTAGCTGTTTGCATTTCGGAGTTGTTACACTCGCACTAACTGATTCTCTTATTTTGACGACGATATTAGTCGTCGTCGTCTTGAAGCAAAATGTCGTTAGAGAGTATTCTGTTAATTATATCATTTTTACAAGTAAAAGATCGAACTTGAATATTGAAAGAATCCATTAAGGGAAAAACCTGGTAAAATGCAAAAATATTAATACGACGGAAAAAAACAACAACTGACGGATGGATTTTGATTTAAAATCATACACAAGTGTTTGAACAGGATGCTTTAGTTATGGGAACGGCAATACTCTGCAAGTTAGATCGAATTGCTTGGTTTTGGAAGATCCCATCAGCAATCTGTTGAAACACAGCCATCACCTCGGTCTGATGTGCATTCATATAGTCTATCCGTTTGTGCGCGGGTACCATCACTAGAATTTTCATCATAAGCCACAACAAACGCCAGTTACGCAGCGACACGTGCTTGTACTTGCGCATACAGTGACCCACAAACGCCTGTGCCATCACCACCGAATCGCCCTCGGCCAGGCAGTTTGCGTAGCAGCCGGCGTGACTCTCCGCCATACGAGTGTGTGCTAGCAATGATTCCGCGCCGAACAGTTCACGACATTTTGTGACGATGGATCGACACAAGGGCGGCACATAGGCTTTGATCAAGAGAATTTCATCCATATTTCGCTCTAAGAGCTCTTCGGTATTGGTGGTGGTAGACGGGTCGATTTGAAAACGTTTGATCAATCGGCAAAAGTAGAAGTCCATTTCACAGACCTGTTGCAGCATGACTCGTAGGTGATCGGTAACATACGAGAACTGGCATCGTTTGCTATTATAGACTTTTGTGATGACAAGCTGCAGCATCATTTTGGCGCACACGAGTGCGGTAACTGATAAGCACAGTCGGCCTACCAACAACCGATTGGACAATTTGAAGAACAGTTTTGGACAGTCATCAGCTACCTGGAGAGCTCCGGTTGTGGTATTCAGCGAACAATATCGATCAAGCAAGTTTTCAGGTGCGGTACTGAACTCGGTGAAGGTAAGACTACCGAAAGAGTTCGAACGGAAATCGGAACGAGTGTAACACTCTTCGATGCATACACCAGGTAGAACAACGCCATTACTGCGGATTTGCACCACAATGGCCACCACATGAGGTGTTAGAAATAATTTACCAATGCTGGTGCTCACGGGTACTTGTTTTCTGCCATGGACGCCACTAGCCTGAGACCATTTCGCAAACACGACCGCATATTCAATCTGACTATTACCTGCGTATGAAATCCAGCACTTTTTAGCGTCTTCGTTTGGTGTGTGGATCACAATTTTCTTTGTTTCTTGATTGTAATATGCGATGGTCTCACACAGTAAACCCGACAACACCCCAGCACTCTTTTCCGTTAATGCGAAGCAGCCCAGTTTCTTCAGTTCTCGCGCGTCTTGCACCAGTGACGCATGAGTGGAAGTGCCCAACGCCGACACGGAGCCCGTAAATAAGTTGAATTGAACGGTAAACCAATTCACTAAATCACTGCTGTTTGTATAGGCCAAACGTTCATGAATGACTATCAGATTATAAGGATCTAGCGATGCCAGCGCTCGCTGTGAGTGAAGCGTGGCCACCACCGTTCGTAGCTGTTGCAGTACCGTAGCAGGATCGCTGGGGTACACATAGCCACCATCATTGTTGCCCGACTGTTGCGGTTTGGTGTAGAAATCGGTAGGAAGAAGAGAAGTATAGGTGCTGGGCAGCGAATAGAGCGAACAAATATATAGACGTTTCGGGCGACAGAGCTTGCCAAGAGCGATAATAACGAAATAGAGAACGAGCGGCAGTATTAAGAAAGGAAGGAATTGAGTGAAGAAATCCATGGTGACGAACGCAAGATGTCAGTCAACAACTTGTCAATTACTGTAAAAGCAAAAATGCAATGCGACGATGTTCAGTTAGAAAAAGAAACTGATTTACAGAACGTACACAAGCAATGATGATAAGCTGGTCGAAAAGAACATTTGTGTGTCCCTGGTGTTCTTGCATAAAAACAAGCATAGTTACTCAAACATGAAGACGTATTAGCTGCATTGCTCACTGGCAAAAAAGATAGGACCGGACCCCGGTCTTCGAGCTAGTTTTAGCAAATTTTCGAGTAAACGGAGACTGAAACTATGCCGCGATATTATTCTGTGCATCTGTCTCTTCACAGCAACCCTAAAAACAACTTACTCTAGAACGTTGGCAATGTGCCTGAAAGATAATGGGTGAGTTCTCCTAAAGTTATTCTCTTTCTTTCTTGGAGAGAAAAAGTAACTCGCGATCAAAGTGGCAATTTCCGTTTACTGATTAGAAAATTAAAGAAATTATATCCCGATTCTGACTCCTTTTCATATATGTAGTTCTTCAATGCTCAAACGGTAAAAAAGCAGTCGTTTGAAACTGTGAAACGGAATGGAACAGTAAGCGGTTAGACGGTCGTTCCGTTACCGTTTCACTGGTCCGCTTCCAGCTCTGGGTCAAATAGTGGTGGCACGGGCCATGGGCCAAGTTGTCTAGACGATCACAAGAAACTTTCAAGAAATATCTTATGCATCTCAGGGAATTGATTGGCGTATATGTTCTGCACACCACCCGGGCTCTGGGGGATCTATGGGGCCTCTAGAGGATCTTCCGATCTAGGGGTTCAAGATTTTCAAAGAAACGTCTTTCATGCTTTTAACAATCCACAATAAAAAAACGCATTAAAATATACGTTTGCTCCACGTTTCAGAGTCGTATCTGTTCAAATACTAGCGGAAGAGTGTCTTCAGTGTTTGACACTGAGAATAACAAACTCAAAAAGAAATCAGATTTTGTAGTTTATTGTAGGGGCGTTAATTTACTGTAAATTTAGAAAATAAATGTAAATGGATCATTTATACTTAAAAAACAAATATAAATAACTGAAAAACAAATTTATCTTTATTTTATAAAAGTAAATGAATAAAGTAATGATAGGAATAAAGAAAGAAATATAAATGAATCATTTACTTTTATAAAATAAAGATAAATTTGTTTTTTAGTTATTTAAAAACGAATTTAGCTTTAATTTTTAAATATAAATGATTCATTTACATTTATTTTCTAAAGTTACAGTAAATTAACACCCCTACGATAAACTACAAAATCTCATTCCGTTGTCTTTTATAAATTTAATAAGATGCTGAGTAAATGCATGGTGGATTTTGAAGGATGGGAGAGAAATCCAGAAACCGCAATTATACTACTCAAACGAGAACAATGCCTAGCCCACGAGAATTTTTCATCTCTCCGGGTGAGTGTGAGGGTCATGTGAATAACGTATTCACACGAGAACTATGCTATTTTACATGAGAATTATGCATAATCTAGAAGATATTATGCTCTCTTCATGAGAAGTTGTATATCTTCACCGATATTATTTTTTCTAGATCACGGGAGTAATGCATTTACACGAGAAGTATGTTGTTTGCTGTGAGAATTATGTATGATCCATAAGATATTCTGGTGTCATTACGATAAATTTTCGTGAAGAGAGCAAAATATCTCTGCATAGAATTTGCATAATTCTCGCACAAACCAGCATAATTCTCATGTAAATGGATTATTCTCGTGACTCAGACAAAAAGAGTCTGTGCATACACTTCGGTTCTATGTCGCTATGCTGAAGAAAATAAAGATTCATGAGTGACATCAATCATGTGCAGTTATTCCAGCTCTGAAACTGACGACCGATAAGTAAGTGAATCAGTTCGCTAGGCAGGACATGTCCATTGATGAATACAAATGCTGTTTCTGACTAAGATGCTCGTAGATTAAACTCAGAGTGAAATTTCTTTTTGACTTTATTATACATATTCTGAATCCCCAGGTCGAGCTGATCACGAATATCACCTTTTTAGTTCGAAAAAATGAAATATTGATGGAGAAAAATGAGAAATACTGAGACGAGGTGGAAAAAGCTAAAAACTGTTCTTTTTCAGAAAATGATTCACAATTTTTTCCCTTTACGTTTTTACTTATTCTCATTAATATTTTCAAATTCTACGTTGAAAACTGATTCTAGAGAGGTCTCTTTCAATGATGTTTGGTCAAAACTGAAATTTTGGCTGAGCTCAGAACTGGCTAAGCTCAGCGAAAATGTTTTTTCCTTACCGGAAAAAACGCCTTTTACCGAAACGGAAGGAAAAACGGCCAGGCCGTCTTTAGCTGACTTATTCATTATCGACTCAAAAATGATAAAAATAAATCGCTATAGGTTCTTAGGCGCC